AGTCACGGGGCAGTTGCTCCAGGCAATGGTAATTACACTTAAGTACCGGGAGAACTGGGGAGAGGGGTGTGGGGAGGGTAGTTAAGAGTAGTTTGATTTAGCGGGGAGCTGGTTGGGGTGGAGAGGACACAAGGATGGTTCCCATTAACGACTCCCGACACAAGGATGGTTCCTACTAACGACTCCGGACACACTGGTGGTCCCACTAACGACTCCGGACACAAGGGTGGTTGCCACTAACGAATTCACACACACAAGAGTGGTTCCCCTAACGAATCCGGACAGAAGGATGGTTCCCACTAACAACTCCGGACAGAAGGATGGTTTCAACTAACGACTCCGGACACAAGGATGGTTCTAACTACCTACTCAGGACCTGGTTGGGGAGGGAAGAAAGTGTTACACCCTTCCGGGAGGGAGGAGAAGGATGGGGGAGTGGAAAGTAAGGGGAGGTAGGGGATATTGTGACTCCCTCACTTCACAATGGTTCGTGACAGATAATTCAGTACTAACTACCTGGATAGTACCGGTGATAACTCTCTCCACTCCCCTCCTCCCACCCGTTTCTACCCCCCATTCCCCCCTTCCGCTCCTTCCCCTCCTCCTTCCTCCCCCTCCCCCGCTTCCTCCTATCATCACACCATAACACATGATTTCCCCCCCCCTCCAGCATTTTTCCCACGGTAAGGAGCCTCCTTCCCTTCTCTACCTCCCCCTCCCATCTTAAATTTCCTCCTCTTTCCCCTCCCCTTCGCTTCCATCCCTCCCATTTCCTCCCTTTCACTCTCTTTCCTCCCCATTATCAACGCCCTACAATTACTGATCCCTTCCTTACCATTTCCCCCATTCCCAATATGCACCCCTACCCATTCCCCTCCCCTTTATCGGTCCCCTCTCCCTCCCACCCCTACCAAGACGCGTGGCAGGTTTAAATGCCTCGTCTCCGTCTTTCGGGTCATTTAAAAGCCATTGTCTGAGAGGGGAAGTTTGCGAGGCACCGAGACCTCTCATTTTCGCTAATGATTCAACCCGCTAATTTAATGCTCCACGGAGCTAATTTCCGTCCGTCGACGATGTTAAGTCGACGATGGTCGACGCTTCCGATTTGTCGACGCTTCAGATTGGTCGATTGAGGACGTCAGCGTCGACAAACTGTGCGACAGATTTTTTGTCGTAATTTGCAATACAAAATTACCACAACACACTAATCGGGACAAACTAACCAGGGACAAAATATTTATATTGATTTAAAATTGTAATCTGGCGAGAGAGAGAGAGAGAGAGAGAGAGAGAGAGAGAGAGAGAGAGAGAGAGAGAGTGGTGGGTGGGTGCGTAACTAGCAAGGGTTGATGCTGGGTAGTGACTCGGATGGGCGTGGGCGGGAGAGGGGGGGAATGTAGGTTGTTGGGTGGGTTGGCGTGTTGTCACTTGACACACTGGAGTGTGACGTGCTCGTCCTTGAAGCAGAGTTGATGCTTCAAGTGCCTCTCTTATGTCTTATTGTGTGCCTCTGAGGGATGCCCTCTTCCAGCAGCGGTATACTGCTTTCATTATCTTCACTTCTTTCATCTTGACCCTCTCTATCTTTTTTTTATTCCAGGATGCGTCCCATACCAGTCAGCTAACACCTAGTGGTAGCAGGTATAAGGAAACATGCCCAGCGTGTCCATTAATCCAGGGATTGAACCCTGGTCCCTCAGTGTATGAGTTGCTACGGAGTTCAGGGATCTGAACAATAAAAGTCAAAATACTGAGGCTGGAAAAATTCACCAGATAATCCGTACTTGGGAGAAAATCTTATGACGGCGTTTCGGCCCTTCCTGGTCCATTGTCAAGTCACAAATAGGGCGATAAAAGTAGAGAAAGTCTGAAGACAATACGGTAGAGGGCGGTGGAGGGGATGTACTATAGGCCAGTGGGGATCCATAGCATCGGAGTAAATAAAATGACTGATGATCACAGAGACGATCACAAGCTCAACAAGTACAGGATTTGGCTCACCAATACCACATGGTATCCATAACATGAGATCAGAAACCCTTGCTTGGCTCCTGGGGAAAACATGCCACGGGTTTCCTCAAGGAGCTGGGCTCCAGTAACATGGAAATCATCAGAGACCAAAGGGCTGCCAACTTTCTCTTCCAGCGCCTCAGTGTGGCGATCCACATAGGGAACGCCTACTGCACTTAGGTTCCCTATATACAGGCGGGCCCCGTTTATGCAGCATGTTGGTCACAGGCTACTGCTATAAAGCATAAATTGCTGTAAAATGAAACATAGCCTTTTAACACTTTCAAATGCATATAAAAGACTGATAGTATGTTTACACAATGTTAAGTGAGCACTAGAGATAAGCCTAAATAATGCATATACAGTACACATTTTACTTACTTTAAATTATTTTCGTCCTTAGCTAATCAGTGAGTGGCAAATATATTTATTGTAGGAAATCTGAATAAATGAAGACTGGGTATTACTGAAAACTGCTGCGTTAGCGAAACGCCGTAAAGCTAAACGTCGTAAAGCGAAACGCTGTAAAGCAGATCCCACCTGTATATGTATGTATGTGTGTATATATATATAATATATATATATATATATATATATATATATATATATATATATATATATATATATATGTATGTATGTATGTATGTATGTTTGTATGTGTGTGTGAGTCAAAAGTCACCCTTGGTCACTGCCTTGGTGGACAATTTTAGTCACCCTTGAGTATGAACCGTGGTTAAGTGTTGTCACTTCATCTGCTTGAGTGTCAACCTTGAGTCATTTGAGAGAAAAATCATTCTCTCTCTCTCTCTCTCTCTCTCTCTCTCTCTCTCTCTCTCTCTCTCTCTCTCTCTCTCTCTCTCTCTCTCTCTCTCTCTCTCTCTCTCACTCTGCCTCTCTCCTCTCTCTCTCTCGTATTATGTGACTTTTTTTCTATATTTCCTGTCTCTCATTATTTTCTGACCTTGCATTGTACAAAGATTACTATAATTGTAATCTTGCTGAACAGGTAAATGATTCATTATTATGGTGAGTTGTTAATGAGTTGTGAGTTGTTAATGAGCTGTGAGGTGTTAATGAGCTGTGAGGTGTTAATGAGCTGTGAGGTGTTAATGAGGTGTGAGGCGTTAATGAGGTGTGAGGTGTTAATGAGCTGTGAGGTGTTAATGAGCTGTGAGGCGTTAATGAGATGTGAGGCGTTAATGAGCTGTGAGGTGTTAATGAGGTGTTAATGAGCTGTGAGGTGTTAATGAGGTGTGAGGCGTTAATGAGCTGTGAGGTGTTAATGAGCTGTGAGGTGTTAATGAGGTGTGAGGCGTTAATGAGCTGTGAGGTGTTAATGAGCTGTGAGGTGTTAATGAGCTGTGAGGTGTTAATGAGCTGAGAGGTGTTAATGATGTGTTAATGAGCTGTGAGGTGTTAATGAGCTGTGAGGTTTTAATGAGCTGTGAGGTGTTAATGAGGTGTGTGAGGCGTTAATGAGCTGTGAGGTTTTAATGAGCTGTGAGGTGTTAATGAGGTGTGAGGCGTTAATGAGCTGTGAGGTGTTAATGAGCTGTGAGGTGTTAATGAGCTGTGAGGTGTTAATGAGGTGTTAATGAGCTGTGAGGTGTTAATGAGCTGTGAGGTGTTAATGAGGTGTGAGGCGTTAATGAGCTGTGAGGTGTTAATGAGGTGTGAGGCGTTAATGAGCTGTGAGGTGTTAATGAGGTGTGAGGCGTTAATGAGGTGTGAGGTGTTAATGAGCTGTGAGGTGTTAATGAGGTGTGAGGCGTTAATGAGCTGTGAGGTGTTAATGAGGTGTGAGGCGTTAATGAGCTGTGAGGTGTTAATGAGGTGTGAGGCGTTAAATGAGGTGTGAGGTGTTAATGAGCTGTGAGGTGTTAATGAGGGTGTGAGGCGTTAATGAGCTGTGAGGTGTTAATGAGCTGTGAGGTGTTAATGATGTGTTAATGAGCTGTGAGGTGTTAATGAGGTGTGAGGCGTTAATGAGCTGTGAGGTGTTAATGAGGTGTGAGGCGTTAATGAGCTGTGAGGTGTTAATGAGGTGTGAGGCGTTAATGAGCTGTGAGGTGTTAATGAGGTGTGAGGCGTTAATGAGCTGTGAGGTGTTAATGAGGTGTGAGGCGTTAATGAGCTGTGAGGTGTTAATGAGGTGTGAGGTGTTAAAGCTGGAAGTTACAGTCAGGGAGATACACACTAGTCAATGTTATTATCTTTTAAGTAACTCTTCTATAATTATGTGTTAATTATGTTTCTTAAGTGTCAACCTTGTGTTTATCCGCTCTTCACGTGCTCTTCCTCCCCTCTTCCTCCTGCTTCTCCTCCTCCTCCTACTCCTTCTCTTCCTCCCATTCCTCCTTTTCTCTTCTTCCTCCTTCTCTTCCTTCTATTTTTATTATCTACTCATTTTCTCCTCTTCCTCAGTTCCATGACCACACTGGACGTAAGTCACTGTAACATCCATAGTGGTCAGTCCACTTAATCTTTGTTTACCTCTCTCTTCCTGCCTACCAGCAATATTCTTCACTCTTCTGTACTTCCCTCTACCTATACTCTCCATTCATCTCATCACCTTAAGTAAAAAACTACGTTACTCTTATTCCTTATTTATTTGTATTCTTTTCATATTCGCTTTCTTTATTTTTGATATACTAAGGCTTTTTCTTTTTCCTCTTCTTCCCACCCTCGAATTACAGTCTTATGTACTGCCCCCAATCCTGTTCATGCTCTGTACCTTGCCCCCTGCCCTGCCTTCACCTTAGCCCCCTGCCCAGCCTTCACCCTGCCCCCTGCCCAGCCTTCACCCTGCCCCCTGCCCAGCCTTCACCCTACCCCTGCCCTGCCTTCACCCTACCCCCTGCCCAGCCTTCACCCTACCCCCTGCCCTGCCTTCACCCTACCCCCTGCCCAGCCTTCACCCTACCCCCTGCCCTGCCTTCACCCTGCCCTGCTTGCTGAAGCATTACTAAAACGTTGTGGTTGTGTGACAGCGGTGAGGAGTCCTTCACGTGCCTGGCCATGCAGGAGAGAAGCTCCAATGTTATGGAGTTCCAGATCAGTAAGTCTATTAAAACTTGTTTACGTTCTTTTGTTTACGCTCTCATGTTTACAATCTCGTATTTGCGTTCTCTTGTTTACATTATCTATTTTACATTATCTTGCTAACATCTTGTTTATAGTATCTAGATGAAGACACCAGATTAGATTTTAAATTTTGCCGTTGAAACGGCTAGTTTATTGTGTACCTTATATCCATCCTGTGGATGGTAGTGGCTAGTTTGTGTTCCTTATATCCATCCTGTGGATGGTAGTGGCTAGTTTATTGTGTTCCTTATATCCATCCTGTGGATGGTAGTGGCTAGTTTGCGTTCCTTATATCCATCCTGTGGATGGTAGTGGCTAGTTTATTGTGTACCTCATATCCATCCTGTGGATGGTAGTGGCTAGTTTATTGTGTACCTCATATCCATCCTGTGGATGGTAGTGGCTAATTTATTGTGCACCTCATATCTACCCCGTGGATGGTAGTGGCTAGTTTATTGTGTACCTCATATCCATACTGTGGATGGTAGTGGCTAGTTTATTGTGTACCTCATATCCATCCTGTGGATGGTAGTGGCTAGTTTATTGTGTTCCTTATATCCATCCTGTGGATGGTAGTGGCTAGTTTATTGTGTACCTCATATCCATCCTGTGGATAGCAGTGGCTAGTTTATTGTACACCTCATATCTACCCCGTGGATGGTAGTGGCTAGTTTATTGTGTACCTCATATCCATACTGTGGATGGTAGTGGCTAGTTTATTGTGTACCTCATATCCATCCTGTGGATGGTAGTGGCTAGTTTGTTATGTACCTCATATCCATCCTGTGGATGGTAGTGGCTAGTTTATTGTGTACCTCATATCCATCCTGTGGATGGCAGTGGCTAGTTTATTGTGTACCTCATATCCATCCTGTGGATGGTAGTGGTGGTAGTGGCTAGTTTATTGTGCACCTCATATCTACCCCGTGGATGGTAGTGGCTAGTTTATTGTGTACCTCATATCCATCCTGTGGATGGTAGTGGCTAGTTTATTGTGTACCTCATATCCATCCTGTGGATGGTAGTGGCTAGTTTATTGTGTACCTCATATCCATCCTGTGGATGGTAGTGGCTAGTTTATTGTGCACCTCATATCTACCCCGTGGATGGTAGTGGCTAGTTTATTGTGTACCTCATATCCATACTGTGGATGGTAGTGGCTAGTTTATTGTGTACCTCATATCCATCCTGTGGATGGTAGTGGCTAGTTTATTGTGTACCTCGTATCCATCCTGTGGATGGTAGTGGCTAGTTTATTGTGTACCTCATATCCATCCTGTGGATGGTAGTGGCTAGTTTATTGTGTACCTCATATCCATCCTGCGGATGGTAGTGGCTAGTTTATTGTGTACCTCATATCCATCCTGTGGATGGTAGTGGCTAGGTTATTGTGTACCTCATATCCATCCTGTGGACGGTAGTGGCTAGTTTATTGTGTACCTCATATCTATCCTGTGGATGGTAGTGGCTAGTTTATTGTGTACCTCATATCCATTCTGTGGATGGTAGTGGCTAGTTTATTGTGCACCTCATATCTACCCCGTGGATGGTAGTGGCTAGTTTATTGTGTACCTCATATCCATACTGTGGATGGTAGTGGCTAGTTTATTATGTACCTCATATCCATCCCGTGGATGGTAGTGGCTAGTTTATTGTGTACCTCATATCTATCCTGTGGATGGTAGTGGCTAGTTTATTGTGTACCTCATATTTATCCTGTGGATGGTAGTTGCTAGTTTATTGTGCACCTCATATCTATCCTGTGGATGGTAGTTGCTAGTTTATTGTGCACCTCATATCCATCCTGTGGATGGTAGTGGCTAGTTTATTGTGTACCTCATATCCATCCTGTGGATGGTAGTTGCTAGTTTATTGTGCACCTCATATCCATCCTGTGGATGGTAGTTGCTAGTTTATTGTGCACCTCATATCTATTCTGTGGATGGTAGTTGCTAGTTTATTGTGTACCTCATATCTATCCTGTGGATGGCAGTTGCTAGTTTATTGTGCACCTCATATCCATCCTGTGGATGGTAGTGGCTAGTTTATTGTGTACCTCATATTTATCCTGTGGATGGTAGTTGCTAGTTTATTGTGCACCTCATATCTATCCTGTGGATGGTAGTTGCTAGTTTATTGTGCACCTCATATCCATCCTGTGGATGGTAGTGGCTAGTTTATTGTGTACCTCATATCCATCCTGTGGATGGTAGTTGCTAGTTTATTGTGCACCTCATATCCATCCTGTGGATGGTAGTTGCTAGTTTATTGTGCACCTCATATCTATTCTGTGGATGGTAGTTGCTAGTTTATTGTGTACCTCATATCTATCCTGTGGATGGCAGTTGCTAGTTTATTGTGCACCTCATATCCATCCTGTGGATGGTAGTGGCTAGTTTATTGTGTACCTCATATCTATCCTGTGGATGGTAGTTGCTAGTTTATTATGCACCTCATATCCATCCTGTGGATGGTAGTGGCTAGTTTATTGTGCACCTCATATCCATCCTGTGGATGGTAGTTGCTAGTTTATTGTGCACCTCATATCTATTCTGTGGATGGTAGTTGCTAGTTTATTGTGCACCTCATATCCATCCTGTGGATGGTAGTTGCTAGTTTATTGTGCACCTCATATCTATTCTGTGGATGGTAGTTGCTAGTTTATTGTGTACCTCATATCTATCCTGTGGATGGTAGTTGCTAGTTTATTATGCACCTCATATCCATCCTGTGGATGGTAGTTGCTAGTTTATTGTGCACCTCATATCCATCCTGTCGATGGTAGTTGCTAGTTTATTATGCACCTCATATCCATCCTGTGGATGGTAGTTGCTAGTTTATTGTGCACCTCATATCCATCCTGTGGATGGTAGTTGCTAGTTTATTGTGCACCTCATATCCATCCTGTGGATGGTAGTTGCTAGTTTATTGTGCACCTCATATCCATCCTGTGGATGGTAGTTGCTAGTTTATTGTGCACCTCATATCCATCCTGTGGATGGTAGTTGCTAGTTTATTATGCACCTCGTATCCATCCAGTGGACGTTAGCGCAAAACATAAGATTTTCCTTCGTCTCTGCTATTAGAAAAAGGTGGGGTCGTGCGCCCCCTTAGTCCACACCTGCATCACCAGTGTGGGAACGTAGAGAGAGAAGGGGCTTTGCTCCCTTGTCGCCCCCTTGATGGAGATAAATTTTTCAACACAGGTGTCCTAGGAGTAAATCTCCCAAAGGACACAATTAAAGAGTGCATTACAACTAGGTACGTAAAAATAGCCAGCCATGTGAAGTCGCATCAAGAGGTTCCCTTAACACCTCTTTTATTTACACTCTTGATTTCTTTTAAGATTTGCGTTCACGACTTTTGTTTGAAATTCTCACCTATTTTTTTTTTAAGTTTGAGTTTTTTTTTTTCAGGTAATTTCAGGAAATTCCAAGTTATATTTTTCTCTCACTAGAATTACGATGTTAATATTATTGAAAATTGTAAATTTGGAGTAGATTTTCACGTTTGATTTAAAAAAAAAAGATATGATATGGAAACATACTTGGAAATTTGTTTACGTTGCGTAGCTCTGGATAGATAACTGAAGAGAGTGGATAGATAATTGAATAGAGTGGATGGGTAATTGAATTCTGTGGATAGATAACTCACTACTACTATTATCATCACGACCATCACCATAATCACCACCATTACCATCATCACCACTACTATTGCCACCACTACCATCATCACCACCACTACCACCACCACCACCACCACCACCACCACCACCACCACCATATCACCACTACCACCACCACCATATCACCACCACCACCACCACCATATCACCACTACCACAACCACCACCACAACTACCACTATTACCACCACCACTACCACCACCACCACCACCACCACCACCACCACCACCACCACCACCAACCACCATATCACCACTACCACCACCACCATATCACCACTACCACAACCACCACCACAACTACCACTATTACCACCACCACTACCACCACCACCACCACCACCACCACCACCACCACCACCACCACCACCACCATATCACCACTACCACCACCACCATATCACCACTACCACAACCACCACCACAACTACCACTATTACCACCACCACTACCACCACCACCACCACCACCACCACCACCACCACCACCACCCACCACCACCACCACCACCACCACCACCACCACCACCACCACCACCCCATATCACCACTACCACCACCACCATATCACCACTACCACAACCACCACCACAACTACCACTATTACCACCACCACTACCACCACCACCACCACCACCACCACCACCACACACCACCACCACCACCACCACCACCACCACCACCACCACCACCACCATATCACCACTACCATCACCACCACCACCACCACCACTACCACTACCACCACTACCACCACCACCACCACCATATCACCACTACCACCACCACCATATCACCACTACCACAACCACCACCACAACTACCACTATTACCACCACCACTACCACCACCACCACCACCATATCACCACTACCACCACCACCATATCACCACTACCACAACCACCACCACAACTACCACTATTACCACCACCACTACCACCACCACCACACCACCACACCACCACCACCACCACCACACCACCACCACATATCACCACTACCATCACCACCACCACCACCACCACTACCACTACCACCACTACCACCACTACCACCACCACCACCACCACCACCACCACCATACACCACTACCACAACACCACCACAACTACCACTACTACCACCACCACTACGACGGCCACCAACCACCACTACACCACTACCATTGCCACCACTACCATCACCGCTACACCACCGCCACCACCACTACCACCACTACCATTGCCACCACTACCATCACCGCTAACACCACCGCCACCACCACTACCACCAACTACGACGGCCACCACCACCACTACTACCGCCACCACCACTACCATTGCCACCACTACCATCACCGCTAA